ACTTTGAAAACGTATAATATAATATATTGATGTATCTGATTATCATATTTCCACGCTGTGATTAAATAAATCACACCCATTAATAATTGATTCTACGGGCGATAACTTACCTTTTCTGAACCATTATTATTAAAGTGTTTCCGTGATATTTACAGACAGACAGCTGTTAAAATTTTCAGATGTTTAATTATTTAACAATATACTTTATGCACAAATGTGTATACAACATTATTAACATTTAGGTTTACCAATATACCGATATAATCACATTATTAATTTTTTCGTGTACCTTGCATAAAATATCGTAAATACTGAATACACACAAATCAATGACACCACTATTTATTGTAGAATTGTACATAATATATTTTATTTCAGAACTGCAGTAATGATATTGATTTAAAAAAAAAAAATATTTGATAATTTTATAGTCGCGTCGATTAAGTCTTCCGGTAATATGTGCAAAGTATCAGTATTTATATTTACGTTCGATATGGTTGATATATATTGCTTATATAAAAGTTTTGGTTTATAAATTAATCAATTTAACGTGATAGCTGTGACATACCTCGTCATTCCAAAACATGAAAATGATTCTGTGTGAAAATATCAGACACAATATATGAAAATAAAACTATCGATTATCGTATGCTATTTTCACTGAAAAAATCTCTGAATAATTATTTAAATAAATTCATTAAGAAAACTTAATTATTTATATAGATTTATAAATGCATATTATAGATAGTCATTAATGGAGAGGGGGGAAACTTCTGGGAACTTCGTCTCTCTAAAATTTCCATAGTGATCCAGAGACATGCCTTACTTTAGATAATGCTTACTTCCCTCTGAACCATCCCCTCCACCAAAAAATAAAAATATTCAATCGAATGACTACCTATGAATTACCTGTATAGATAAGGCGAAAGATGATAAAAGCTGCATACACGCCACGCAGACATGACATTATTTAAAAAATACTCAACACTACATTGATGTATAAACATTAAACGCATATATTATACATATAACCTAACCTAACCTAACTATATAAGTTGTTTGTGTATTTTGACTACGGCGATAAATCCTAATTCCTATACAATTGGTAAAAAAAAAAACTCAAAGTAAAGAGTTCACACCGTGAACGTACATATTATCTAATATAGAAGAGTTGAACAAAGATATTATGAAAATGTTGATTTCTTTGCATTGCAACACATACAGATAAACGGCGTAAGTGATAAATAAAACGTGCCTTCTCAGGATTTCTGGAATTTTGAATCAACCTATTTGGGAAATAAGAAAGCCAGTAATATAATTACAATACATAGTGTATAATAGTAGTATGCTTAGAATTATCGTTTTCTCTTAAATATAAATAATATAACGGTGTACTCCATAATGATTTCGATTCGTTATTTATTTATTGTTTTGTAATGTATACATGAATGGTGCACTTATTAGTTATTATGATGATTTACTATACCTTCATAATCGTTATAAGTAATTGATGTAATATAAAAAGTTCAGTTATACATATATAATATTACTGCATATATTAATGTTTATTTGTTGACTTATTTGCTCGTATTCGTTTTGATAATCATATCATGCGAAATGTTTTAGAATAAGTTTGTTCCGTCTTCCGTGTATTAGAACTACACATTATATCAACTGATATATTAAACTTGATATAAATATATTACATACGTACATAAGTACTTAAGCAATTAATTAAATGCAATTTACTACTTGTTCGAAATACTGTTATTTGTATTTTATACTATCTAGTTGTGGTGAAACAAAAAGTTTTTATTAAATGTACTTGAATAAGAGCTGTAATTCTATTTCTATATATTACCTATACCACAGCTTATTACAAATATTGATCGCGATAGGTAGGCAACCAATTGGTATTTAAATGTCTTTATTTGTTTATTTAATAAAACTTTTAGTTTAGTGCTATTCCGAGGGCCGAGGCGTTCGTTATTCAAACAGAAATACTCTAATAATGTTAATAAGATTCGAGGACAAATGATAAAATACTTTACGTGGGTATAACGTATTTAATAACTCATATTATAGTAATATAAAGTAATTAAAAACAAACAAATATATAAGATAACTAAAACGTTTAACGAAAACTAACTCGAAAGTAGGAATTTACGGTAAATTATAAGGCATGGACTAATTGCACCTAAAAAAAGTTTTTGTTGAGGGTCAGTGTACCAATTGGACTTGTATTCAAAATTTTCAAATATGAAAATATTGTTGTCCATAAACAATATACACACAAAATGCTTAAAAATTAAAAACTTATCTATTGATCAATTGGTTACTGGTTTAGGTGACTGCTAACAATATATTTTATGACAGTATCGGGATTTTTTTGAAACATTATTATTATCGTGCACATTTTATTGTATACAAATATGAATTTGAATGATAGACGAAAATAAATTTTCATTATCATCGGATATTTATCAACCTAATTGTTTGGTTGCACAATATATACTGTATTAATATGTACCTACCTGGCTACCTATTATTATAGTAGGTACTACTATATAGGATAACACATTGATGATAGCCATTACTTATATCTTGTTGTTTTGTATTAGTTTAAATTGTAAAAAAGTTTAAATGTGAATTATTATGTAACTGATATAATTTTAATTTTGAAAAATTGACTATATTTATTTATTTATATTATATCATGTATTTATACTAGCAAAAAAATCGATGTGCGTATTCATTTATTGTATAATTATAATTATAAATAATAAATTTTCACTACCTAAGTGATAAGTATTTTAAAATGTTTTGAGCGCAATTGGTACCTATATAAAATAGAAATTTTAAACGCAGTTAGTAAACTCCTAAATTATTATTTGTAGTTTATACCTATTTAGTTTTTATTCGATATTATATGTGTACAATCGCGCAATATTTTTTTATTTCAATATTTAAGAGTGGTGGAAACGAAAGTGTAGTGCAGATCGATTTTTAAAAGATCCAAAAAATATGATTTGTATCTACTTTAATTTACTTACCTAATTATTTAATTATTTCTTATTTAATTGTAAAGGAAAGTTACAGTTTTTATATTTCTATAATCTTACCAATATTATATGATAGCTCGATTAAAAAATTGTAGAGTGTCGATGTCTACTAATATTTGGTCATTTGGTGTTCGGCAGCAGAAACTTAACCATGAAGATAATATTATACAGGTTAGATCGAAAGTGTCTATTTTTTTCAAATCGATCGATTCCTATTTTTTTCTTGACATAATTTATCATTACAACAAAAAGCTGATTTTTATTTTTATTTTCAAACGCGTTAAGCCCTGATCGCGAGAAATTCTAGATCCAACAGCGTTTATAAAACGCGTTTCCCGAGATATTTCAACGCGTTCGGTAATCGGTCGTTCAGTGTTTAGACTTTTATAGTGGTCCTGAAAGTCAAACTGCGCACACGCCACATGGTGTATTTACACGCGTACTATGCAAAATTGTAAACCGAAAAAATATAATGTACGACCGTTGCGCTTGGTACAATGGTTAATGGAGTAACTGGGAAGGGTAGTGATAGTAAATGACACTTCGACGGTTAGATTTTTTTCGAACGTTCACGTAGGGAACTATTATTTATTTTTTTTCCGTAACAATTACGACGACGGCGATTTATCAAAACGACCGTTACGCACTTTCGTCGGACGTGTGGCGGCAAAAGCGACATCGCAGTGTGACCAATTCGGCGATCGTACGTCGGCGTGATGTCGCACTGGTGGTCTACCGCGGGTAACCGGCAAACGACTGCCGCCGAAACGACCAAAATTCAAAATCACGGACTACCCGAAAACTGGGGCCTGCACGAGTCTCACCCACGATTTTCAAATGTTTCGTTTGATGTCTATGAATTATATAGCTTTTAGTCGTGAACATTTTTTTTTTTTTATATTCAACTGACAAGAAACATTAACAAAACTGCGGCTGATCTCCAACGATGTACACATGAATAAAGTTCCCGCCATTTTCAAATAATAACTATAAAATCATATCGCAAACCAGACTCTCTGTTTTTTTTTTTTTTTTTTTTTTTAATGTACAATAATACGCATTTCGATCACGCAAATAATTAAGTTTTGTTTCAAAATCATATCCTTTTTTAATAGTTGACTATGATAAAACATTTTGGGTTCCGTCAAGGCGTTGACTAAAAACATTTTTGACAGAGCATTAATGTTATTCATAGAAAATTTGTATGAATGTGTTTATTTTAAAACGACAGAATTTGTAAATTTCAGATTAATTTGTAAAAAATTTGTTAAATGGCTTGTCAAAAATAGACGAATCGAAAAGGATAAAAACGAAAATATTGTAAAATAAGCAATTATTCAATAACTTGATTGAGAGACTTTAGACAGTGATAATGTGACCGAAGCCTGCACATAAAACGTTAATAAAATAACTAACTTGAAATTTGTAAAAAAATCATTTTCTTAATATTTTATATGTATTCTAAATCATACAATTATGTTTGTTTTCTATAGTATAGTAGATAAGTTAACACCTAACGGGTTGTGTTTATAATGCACATTATGTACATCGATGGGAATTGGGATTCCTAATAAGACAAACGTATCTACAACCGTTGTTGAACAAAAACGAAAGTGTTAAGCGTTAAGCCATTGGCGACAAGACCTTTATAAAGGACAAAGGCCTTTTATTTAAAGTATTAGCGCATTAGTATTACGTTAAGCCCCCAATGATCGGCCGTGAGAAAGAGAATAGAGATGTTGAGAAGTGAGAACGCGAAACGAAACGGCCGCCGCGTTGCCGCACTATCGGCGTCCGTAGAGCGCTGCTTCCCGACGGCCGGTCGCACATGGCAACGTCGCGATTACCGTTTTGCCGCCTCACACTCCGTAGCCATTGAGCGAGCGCGCGCACGGCGGCGGCGGCGGCGTCGTCGTCTAACACTATCGTTCGCCCGCCACTGCATCACCACCACCCCGCAACATCATTACGCACACTCACACAGAGCAGCACAACACACCGACGCTGCCGTCGTTCATTTCGTATATCCGCTTATTGGTTTTCGTACGCCGAAATTTTCGTGATTCGCCACTAGTGAAGTAACTATCGAACGACTGCCGGTCAAACGTCCGACGCAATTGTTTTTTGATAAATCTTTTTACATTTTTCACACCGTCTCACGCGAGGCAACAGAAAACCAATCGACGACGAAGCCGATACAATCATCATGTCCGACGTGTCCAAAGAAACGCTGAAGAAAGAGATCGCCGGTAATTATTGTGCACCACATCTGTCTGACAGCGTCATGCTCGGCTTTTATTTTACGCTAAGATTTTCATAAATACTGTTCGTGTCGGTTCCCGATAAAAACTGAGCGATCGTGTGAGGATGCCCGTTGTAGTTAGTAGCGGCTCGGTTCTTTTTAATCGTCAATTTCTGTACCGTTTTCGTACGTGTTTTTTTTTTCAGTTAAAATTTACCGGCCTCCTATCACGTTCTTTTTTCGTTTGTGACAATATTATTATCCCGAACACCGCGCGCTGCCGGCCCGCGTCCCGTCATCGTGCTAATGGCGTCGCCGGTGTTTTAATTATTTAGATCTCCCGACGTAGGCTTAACCGTTTGAACGGCCGTTTCGTGCTTATCCATTTTTTTTCGGGCAATTTTACGCTTGTAAATTTCGGCGCGGAGAACAAATTTTTGTTATAAATTATGTCCGCCGTCAACTCGCTGCCAATGATCGCTAGATAGCGCCCCGTCTGGCTGAGGTGTAAACAAAAGCAGCGTCCTAAAAATTAAACCGTCCCCGACGACGCTACTGTTCCTATTCCACGGCCAAATATCGTAATATTATTTGCTTCCACGACTAAATCGTCGCCGATTATGTTTTTCGATTATACTCGTCGAAACGATTTTTTAACCACTCTCACAAAAAAAAAAATATTGCCAATATTGTGTTTTTGTCCATTATTTTTGAGTTATTCATAAAAATTTAACTGTCGATTGAGAATTATTTAAAAAAAAAAACATACAAAATACACTACTATTTTTCAATTCAGTGAAATTTTTGTAATCGGTGTATGTAAATCCATAAAGTTTGTTTTATTTTCTCAATATATTCTAGGAATTATATTTTTACCAATGAAACATATATATATATATATATATGTATGAAACTTTTTGTCATTATTTTTATAAATTTCAATATTAAGAGATGTTTGAAGTAATCTAGATGCGTATAAATAGAAAAATTATACAATATTATTATATTATTTAAATCATAGACTTATTTTCAATGAAAAAATATTTTTATATACCTATTATTATTGTTAATTTAGTGTTCATTTATGATTTGGTATTGAGATTATAATTAATTTCTGGTGCTCATATTTTAACTTTGAAATTATTTTTGTTTTTAGCTCTTCTAAAATCTGCAGATTTAACAAAAACCTCTGCGAAAAAAATAAGACAGGAACTCGAAAAAAAATTAGACACAGATCTTGATGATCGATAATTTATTAAACTTTTGATTGTTAATGAAAATTTTTTTACCTTTAATTTTTATTGTGTAGAAAAAAAGAAATTGACACATTAGTAATGGAAGCAATTAAAAAAGCTAAAGCTACCAAAAAGAACGGTAAAGGCGATAGTGATGATGAGAATGATGATGATGATGATGATGCAGAAAATGACGAGGAAGATGAAGATGATGAAGAAGAAGAAGAAGTGAAACCAGCCAAAAAGGTGGCTGCTCCTAAACGTAAGAAGGCTGATAGCAGTGATGAAAGTGCTGGTTCTGACGATGTAAGTAGGATTTCAGCATAATCATAATAGTTTAAACTATTTTAAATTATTGTTAATAAGTAAAAAAAAAATTAATTTCTTATAGGATGATGGTGATAAAAATGACGGTGACTATAGTCCTAAGAAAGGTACCCCCTCAAAAAAAAAGACCCCTGTTGCTAAACGAGGACGTAAGAAGAAGGAAGATAGTGACAGTGATGAGGACTGGAAAGGAGCCAAGAAGGGAGCAAAAAAAACTGGGGTAATTTTAATATATTAGTTAATCGTGTTTCATTTTTTATTAAATAATAATTTATTACAGACCAAACGAGGAGGTAATAGTGGGTATACAAAATCAGTAACACTTAGTCCTGAACTTGCTTCTCTTATGGGATCTGAAGCTTTACCTCGTCACGAAGTTGTCAAAAAAATGTGGGCAATTATCAAAGAGAGAAATCTTTATGTAAGTTTTTCAATTTTTTAGATTATAAATAAAATTATATTCTTAATTTACTTTTCCGTTTTTAGGATCCATCTAACAAACAATACGCTATTTGCGATGATGATTTGATGAAAGTTATTGGAGTAAAACGTTTCAGAACTTTTGGTATGATGAAGTTCTTAAAGAATCATTTTATATCATAACTGTGTTTTAAGTACTAGAAAAAAAAATGTTTATTGAAATATCCTACTTTCCCTCCCCCCAATATTTTCATTTATCTTAAAATTATGTTTACCCTTTGTGTTTCTTCGATTTGTGGAAATTCATGGTAATTTTTTTATTAATGAGAAACTGTTTCTCGAGTATTATAATTTTTCATTCCTAAAAAAAAAAATTTTAATTAAATGGTCTTGACATACGATTTAGGTTGATGTCATTTTTGAGTGAAATTTATTATTATTTTTTTTTTTTTTTTTAACTTTTTTTTTCATACTTTGCACACTTGCTAGGTATAATATCTAGCTATAAATGTTTGAATGTATAAATGTATTTGTAAACAATTATAACAAGCATTTTTGTGTTTTTAGAATACTTTTACAATAATTTTAAGACATTAATCTACATCGTAATTTTATTATAATTAATTTATAATTGAATAATAATAATTTAATGCCTAAGATGTTTTAGTCTTTAAATTTTGTTTGACAATTATTAGTGTACTTTGTTGTAATTGAACATACTAAACTATTTATATCATCATACTCAACACTTGCATAAAGCTTGTTTTTAAGCCGTATGGATGATTGAGGAATTGACTGATTTGTGTTGGTGGCTTTTTCACTCATAGTGTTAGAGCCAACATCACACAATTTGGTTTGCACTTGAACTGATTTATAGACATCTATAGTTTGCGCACTTTGAGTTACTTTTAATGTTTCTTTGATAGTGTTGATTATTTTCTTATTTTTTCTCGTGCATTGTCGTATTTCCTTTGAGTCATGAGTGATATTGTTTATTAAACCTGTGTTGTGTAGATAAAGTGCTGTTTGCACTTGTGCATCCTTGTACTTGTCCTTTTCACTCGCTCTATACATATATAAATTATAAATATATATTTGTATGGAGATAATACAATGTACTTCTTACATATCGTTGATATTTTGATGCATTTCTGCCATTTGTTCGTATAAGTGAAAAAATGATAATAGATGTGTCTTAGACCTCAATAAGTTGAAAAAGTGGTTCATATAGCTGTGGAAATTTTATTTCTATATTAAATATATTAAATTATAATGTAATAATTATGATAAAAATATAAATAATTATAACATGTGGTTATACAAAGTTGATAATCTCAGGTTAATCTAGTAGAAATAGTTGACGACATTTTAAAACAAGATATTTTTTACTTCTTGTAATTGTCAGTATAATAAATTAAAATTCTGGTTTTTGTTTATTTTAATTTGTAAGCGTTATCGCAACATTACTTACTATGTTGGTTTGGTACCAAAATGTAATACTGCTTGAATACTTGAAAAGCCAAACCATTCATCAGAGTACTGTATTACCCCTAAATCTTTGTCATGTTTAATTAAAGTTCCTTCGGTTTCAACTAACATTACCACACAATATCCGTCTGCCTAAGTACATAACTATCTGGTTAATATGCTATAATTTAAAGAATACTATATAAAACATTTACAAAAAAGTTCCTTCCTTCTGTACTGGTTGTAGGTGGATACCATTCACACATGGGATGTAATGGATATGTCTCAATAATTGTATACAGTTCTTCATTATTGGTTAGAATTGTATTTATGATTGGCATACTCTCGAAATCTTCATTTATGTTAATTAACTAAAAATAATATTTCATACCAATACTTTTTTTTTTACCCAACTACAATATAAATTACTTCATTTGTCATTTGCTTCATGGTGAGTATTAAACTACATGTAATACCCAAATAATTCATAATCCCTCTAATATCACTCCAAATAACTGATAAAGTTTTGAATTCCGGCTAAAAATAATTTCAATTTAATTTTTATAATGACATTTTAATTTTATTAAAATTACATAATAAACGGAATGTAGTACTTACGCAAATTGTATCAGCATGTGCATTTGTATTTTTAATTTCTTTCAATGTGATGTAAAATTTATCGAGTAATGCTGGCAATTCAATTTTTAATTTATTTAAATCATTTTTGATAGTTCTAAAAATATAATTATGTTAATATTTGAATATTTAATGTGAACTTATAGGTTACAACATACATACGTACTCTAAATTTTTTTGGTACTGTAGATAAAATACTAATACAGCTTTATAATCGTTTAATTTTTTTAATGTAACAGTTGCTAAATTTATTCGTATAACAAATATCGGAGCTAGAATGTCATTGTACACTTTATAGTATTGAAATATCCATGAAGTTATCAATGTCACTTTCTTAGAACTATCTCTTGACTCCTGATCAATATTTTGTAGAAGCAAATCAACGGCATCAGGAAGTGTATTTATCACTAAAAAAATCTAAGGTAAGTATAACCTATAATGGTTCACTACATTAAGAGAGGAGCAAAAATCTTATTGTTTTAACACTAATTTTATCTAATTAGTATGTGGGGAATCGGGTACCTACGAGCTAAAAGATTTTAATAATTGTTATGCTTTCTAGGAATAAATACATTTCAAAATATTAGACTATTTATTTCTAGGTCAAAAATCTTATAAATGTGATATGAACTGTAAGGCATCTCAATCTGTTTTTTAGAGCATTTCAAAAATATCGAAAATATTGTCACTTAATTTTTTATTAAATACTTATATGTATTAAATGTTTAAATGTTGACTAAATTAATCAAAATCAAGCAAAATTGTATTTTTTTAAAGCTGTGAGTACATTTTAGAGTTAAATCATCATTAATACGTATTTTCTATACGCAATGAAATTTTAAAAATACCCGTTGTTTCCATTAATTTAAATTTTTATGCTAATTCATTTATACCAACTATTACCAGTTACTACGAACCTATTCATACACCATTTTGTGGCTTATCAATTATTAACAATAATTGAATAATATTTGCAATGGATTAATTACGAATTTAAAATGAACTTATAAGGCACCATAAAATTAAAATTTGGTAAGTTAATAGGTACTCGGAGATATAAAATTATAATTAATGAATATATATTTATTTTTTTTAATGCTATTGCACAGGCCGTTGAGGCCTTTAGCATGTTTCCACCTAGTCTCTCCATTCATTTGGCTTATCGCGTCATTTATTCGTTTTGAGTTGTCGACATCTAAAATAGGTATCTTTATAATATATAAATATACTATGAAATATCAAAAGTTTTTTTTCTATGTTACGACGATTTAACTTTGCATTCAAATTTAACACATTCATTATAATAACCATTACTGATTATTAAATTGTGATGACCTACACAATTAGGTAATTTACGTACTATCCAATGTTTCTTCTCTTATATCTTTACGATCTATGTTGTAAAGCCAAATGCCACATACCATGTTTGATATTTCTTTCAATTGATTTGTTTTTAAAGATGATAATTGGTTTTCAAATTCTGATAATTTTGTTTGATTTAATACGTTATTTAATGTATCTAAAAAAATAAAAGGTATTTATATTATAATTTTAAATACCTAAAATACAGTGATGAATTTTATAATGTTGCGTAGTATGTCATTACTCATTATACTCGTAAATCAATAAGACGTTCAGACGCTAAAAATCTTTTTAAAATATATTACAATTGTATTTTTACCTATTGGACCGAAAAATTAACCATGAAATTTATAATCGAATGAGTAAGTGTCAATAAATCATAATAATGGTCATGTAATAGTTAGTAGGTAGGTAGGTAAGTATATATAGTCAGAATATCAGATTACGAGGTGTCTAGAAGTTCGATAAGTTTATTTTAAATGTATACAAAACTTACTGTCTTGGCATCTCACTAGTTACTAAGTGTATTAAAAAATGTTACTAATCGATATTTTGCCCACCGATAAAATTGAAAGAACTAGGTGCCTACTAAAGGCTGTATTTAACCTGTGTATTCTATTTAACGGTGGTATTGAATTGAGTCCAGCTTATTATCTCAATATCTTAAATTGAGTCCGTATAGATACAATGGCATGACTACCTACATAGTCGGTGACACGCAATTGGTTAGTACTTAGGTATTTAATTATTAAATTATTACGAGTGAAAAATGGAGTTTACCCTATGCTTAGATGTTAACTTATAAAATAATTATTTCCTCAAACAATTTTTAATATTTTGTTATATTTCTAAAAATTATAAGATAAATATGTACTTAAAATTTCCAAATTATTATTTTCAATACCTATATTATGAAAATTTTCGTTTTTTTTTTAGTATTTTTCTATGACTGTAGATAAAAAGTTATTCTCTGTGTAAAAAGTACCTTTATTTATTAAAATTTTTAATATTTTTTAATTAATTGACTTTTTATTCCTACTTATTATTACAATTAAAGAAACGGACTCAATTCCGATAACCTAAAAGTATTTGTGAGACTCAATTCAATATTTGGGATTCAATTCAATGTTATCCCTATTTACGCTATCGTAGTCCATTATCAATTAATAATTAAGTACCTATGTACCCTCTGGGCAGGCATAAGGGCTATGATGATAAACTTACTATTTACTAACCAGAAATTTCCTGAACACGTATCGGTGAAGTCGGATCTCCCATATAGTTGGATAAAATAATGTACTGTATAAATTTTTGATTGAATGCACTCATTTTGCTGCCTATGTGGTCTATGTTATCTAGAATGTCGTTCAATAAGGGTTTAATTTTTTGATCATTTTCTTCACTGGCTTTATTGATGATAAATCCTGTGAATGAAATGTTGTTAAAATTATAGATAATTAAGTTCACGGAGTTAATCGACTTATTGTATTATATTATACCTATATTTTTATAGTCGTTCTCTATTAGTAATTGCATTTTAATGCATAATATAGCTGGGTCCTTGTAATCAGATAAGCGCTGAATACATTGGTCTATAACTTTGTCCATTGCAACTTTTAACGTTTGTTTTTGTAAATTCTTCACATTGGAATTTAATGACCAACATTTAAACTACATTAAAATTATAAGTATATAAACAATATATAATTTCTCTAAATTTTGTAACGTGTAAATTTAAATAGATACATGCATTGGAACTGCTGTGGCCGATTTTAATGGTAGTAAAAGTAGTTTATATGGTTAAAAAAAAAATTTCCACCTGAATAGTCGGACGAAAACTTTAGTGTAAATTTGAATATTTATACTGTATTATTTATATGGCTAAAAAGAATAGACACAAGAAAAAAAATAATAAAAGTTATTTTTATCTTTTTGTATTAATATAGAATAATGAATGTAAATATAATACAATATTCACCTATGAATGTCTAAAAATAATAATATTTATTTTATGTACCTAATTGTTCAAAATTTAAATCGATTTGAATGTGTTTAATTTATTAAGTAAATATATTAAGTAATATTATCTAATAAATTAGATATTACAAAAAAAACATTCATTGATTATTTAGTTTTTTAAGCATTGGTTATACAAATAAATATATATTGTTACCTATTTAAAAATTAATAAAAAATATCTTAAACATTTTTAAATACAATATTTAGTGATACTCAATAAAAAAAAATGACGATCGTGCATTTCTTGTTTAAATATATAGGTACTTTTTATACGTAATACAGTAAAACCTGTCTTATGCGAACCCTTGATAAGACGGATTTCTGTTCTGTGCGGAAATTTTTTATGGTCCCGGCAGATTTCTATAGTTTAACATAGGATTAAACCCTTGATAAAACGGAACCTGTTTTACGTGAAACGGAAAGCTATATTTTGGTCCCGTAAATCATATATACCTCTAACAAACGGAAAAACACATCATAAAATAAACAAAAATATTTTTGATGCCTACATTTATTTTGCTACTGAACAATTATTAAGGTCAGCGATTAATACGTATCAAAAGATAACTAAATTTTATCTATATTTTATAAATTAGCGCTTATTATTGTCACCGCAGTCGAGTTTACCTGTCGTTTCGTATCGTCTTACCTACTTGTTCTCACAATAGTTTAAATGAAAAAAATAAGTCATCGAAGAAAGTGAAAAAGGAAATAGTGTTATTATAATTATTTACTAAAAATTAAAATTTATTGTAGCCTATGATATTTATTAATTTTTAATATTGACCGGAAAATGTTACAACTCTAATCGTGCAGTATATTATCGTAACTCTATAGTACGGAATTTTCCGTTTTATTCAGTTATAAGAAAACCTGCCTAAAGCGGAAATTTTTATTGGTCCTGTGCAATTCCGCACAAGACAGGTTTTACTGTATTTATCTAATTTTTGCAGCTACATATTAAACGTTTTGATCACACATTATAACGATTAACGGTTATATAAAAAAAACCTATTGTACATACATTAGATAAAAAATACGAATTTTAATTTTATACTTGTCACTGTATGTACAACATAATTTAATAACTGATTATAGTGAGCACTTACAAATACATGTGCAAGTTCCTCGGAGACTTGTACTCCCAGTTCTAAACATCCTTTGATCACTTTCCTAATATGTTTTTCTTCGGGCAACATAATGTACACTGAAGTATGATGATTGTGTTACCAAACACACGAGCCGCACAGATCGCAACACAAGACAGGTGATTGAAATTTCAAATATTTTACTATTATTTCCATAGCAACACAATTACCACAAAGAACATATACAAAAAAAAAAACATAACTGATATACAATAAAAATCAATAGGAAATGACATAGTTCTCTTTCGTTATTGTTCAGTAAGTATATGTACTTCATATTTATTTTTATTTTCCTTAGAAAATTAAAAATAATATGACAGAAACTGCAGTAGACTAAGTGTGGTGATTGGACCTGCAGTACTTATCGAAAAATGGTGAGTTATTACTTGTAATCAGTCGTTAGATGTCGTAAAATATTTATAAATAATAAGTTATATAGGTACCATAAGTACCTCTTATACTAAGTTATTTAAACACTACTTATACTATATTATTCGTATTATTGTAGCACGAACATATTTATTTAAAATAATAATTTATCGTAGTATTAAATTTTGCATAACACACAGGGCTTTTCGTATTTAATTAGGTAGGTATATATTTTAGCGTGCAAGAAATTATGATTGTACACTTGTTTAAATACAATATTACATAAGTAATGCACCTTTAAATGATCACATTTTAATTTACATATTATATTTTTAATATTCAAGTTTATCGTGCAAATAATTTTCAATATGTTGAGAATATCATAGATTATAATATATTAATTATATAACCGGGACAGCGTTTGAAATAATAATATAGGTATATCAGTGACATTGGTCGCATACTAATTATTGGCGTTTGGGTTGTTCTTGTCGATTATTAATTATTATATAGCATTATTATTTATTAGTTTACATTATAGTACCTACGTATTACACGTGTACTATATATTATCGGTCAACAAAAATGTTGCAGGGGTTGTTGTCGATGCTGAAGCGGTTACGATCGTCGCCGGACAAGGAGCTTCGCATCCTGCTACTAGGTCTGGACAACGCGGGAAAGACGACGTTGATGAAGAAACTCGCGTCCGAGGACGTTTCGCACATAACGCCTACGCAGGGTTTCAACATTAAATCCGTTCAGGCGGATGGCATGAAACTGAACGTGTGGGACATTGGTGGACAGCGCAAGATAAGACCGTATTGGCGTAATTATTTCGAATTCACCGATATATTGGTAAGTACCATTAGTACTAATGTCTAGTGATAATATTACTGAAAATATAAGGTTTTTATAACTCCGTTCGATCCCAATAATATCGTCTAAAATATTCATAATACACGCGTACTTAACTATTATCCTGTGTGTAATTCACGAGTTATGTTCACTATACTTATTTTTCTTTTAATAATATGAATTTATTCGATTTCCAATTTTTGACATTTTTAAGTACCTATATTTAAAGACCGCATACATTTTTAATATCTAGAATTTTTATACTATAGTAAGAAAGATTACGTGATAATACAAACTTATTTTTTTTTTTCTTATGAAAATCGCTCTTTTTTCGTCTACAATTTATTATTGATTTTTATTGATTGCATTAAATATGCAGGGCCTATATAATTTTCCTAATATAATGAAATTATTTAATACTGCACTAATTAGACATCAAATAATTGTCCAAAATCATATATTTTAAGCACCAGAGCACATTTTATTTGAATAATTGCCTATGTTATGATTATTGGATAAAATGGAGGTGAACGCATCATAAACGGTGTGAATGATTCATAAGCGTTATTTGATGGGGGGGGGGGCACTTGAGAGTGCTTAGCACCCCCAAATTTTTAATAGTATCAGCATTTTTGTATTGCAGTAAGTCGAGAACGATAGTTATATTAAAAATAACTAAAATATTTTATCAAAATAGGAAGGGATAAAACCTTCCACGGGTCAACACACAAATCTAACATCCTCACGTACATTCAACTTAAATTGCGCCTATGTAATGACCAATTACAGCACCATTTTTTAAACAAAATTGAAACTATACTAACTATTTTCGAATTTGTTTATTGAAAATGTTTTAAAGTTTGATATAACATTACATACTCCAATAAATATTTGTTTGAATTCGTATTACATAGATTTACGTAGTGGACAGCGCAGACAGAAAACGCGTGGACGAAACCGGATTCGAATTGAACGAACTGCTCAACGACGAAAAATTAGCCGGTGTACCAGTGTTGGTATACGCCAACAAACAAGATTTGGCGCTGGCGGCAAAAGCTTCGGAAATAGCGCAAGAACTTAACTTGCATCTAATTCGCGATCGGCCGTGGCAAATACAGGCTTGTTCAGGTATACGCGGAGAAGGCATTAAAGTAAGTGATCGTGATTTATGTTTATGATTTTATTTCGATAGAGAAAAAAGGACGATACGAAGAAGAAACAAATTTTTTAGCCGAATATAAAAAAAAAAAACTTAATTGCAACTTGCATATCAAGATCAAATAATTTAATAATTCCTATCTCCACGCGCATACATATATTATTAATATTTTAAATCGCATGAAAAAAATTTTTTTTGGAATTTTCATGCATATTTTGATTATAATATTTAACAACGTAATTTTAATTAATGAACTTTGTATATTTTAGTACTAACAAGATGATTAATGATGGTAAATGAAAATTTCTAAACACAAGCGCAGAGTGATGTAGGAGAAAACTCGTTGTATTAATGTTATACATAGACTCAATTTATTTATTTATACGACCCGTTTCGCACTCTCGCCTGAAAATAGCATAGGACGAAACCGGTGATTGTTTTCTACAATAAATCATAATAATAATACTTTGAATGTTATTTGTGAACTTTTAATCTAACCATTATCTATATGTTTATGTATTTTGTATACGTTTCACAATAAAATTGTAATCACTTTATTGATATGTGTTCAAGGGACAAAATCATGTTTTATTAAACATATTTATTTAAAAAAGTTTAATTTTCGTAAAAAATATTTGGTCAACGTTCTTATTCTGCAGTATATGGTGGAAAACTACATTGCGAGAAGTTCGGGATAATGTTGAAGTAAAAAATAAATTTTTAGATACGTACATCTTTACAAATAATTTGTAACTCTATACTCAGGTACCCATCAACATTCAGAGTGCAATATATTTTCATTTATTAAATACCAGTCCAAAAATATAACCATCATAATACAGTGAAAACTGTCTAATGCGGACCCTGAATAAAACGGAAAACTATCCAATACGGAATTTTTCTATGGTCCTGGCACGTTCCTATAGTTTTATATAGACGCTCAATTTCAATAAAACGGAACCTTCATAACGCGGAAACGGAACGATTTTTTAAGTCCCATGCAAGTAAAAACCTTGCATAAACCGGAAAATTGACACGAGCGTATCAAATCTAACCCAAAAATAAGGTATAAAATATAGATATGCCGATGTACAATGTACATCGTTAAATAATGATAGATAAAGAAGATAAAATTGTTCTATAGGTATATATTCGTAAAATATAATATGTACATTGTAGTATTGTACATACAATGCATATTATCGCATCTTAAACGATACGAAATTTTTTCTTTGTAACTGTGAAACGGTCTTACACCAACAGTCGTACGTACACTTTTAATTTTATTTTATCTTCCGTTCATCGCATTAAATATTAAAATGCCAAAATATAAGTGTCTTTCGTTAAATGAAAAATATCAACTGATCAATTTTAATGAATTATATTATGTATTTAAAACAATAAATTGAGAAATACTCTTTGATATTTTTTATTCATTTGAATTGAATAATCCGGAATTTTTCCATTTTATTGAATAAAGCGGAAAACTGCTTAAAGCAGAATTTTTTGTTGGTCCCATGCGATTCTGCTTTAGACAGTTTTCACTGTATACGTATAATGTCTTTTTGTTTATTATTTTATAACGGCGAGTAGAATATTATAATATATTAGGTATCTATAATCTTTATTATTTTTATTAATAATCAAAAACTTTTATTTTGTTTTTGATTACAATTTATTTTCTATTATCATTATTTTTAACTATCAAACTTTAAAAATAATTAGCAAAATTATGAGGTTTATTTAAGGTTTTGGGCGAATAAGCCTCTTAAACTCCAACCGATTTGCATCTATGATCATAAATGATATGATAATTACCTATAGTATAATTTTTTTTTAATCATTTACTATTACAGCCGTGTAATTATTTTGTTTTATTTTTTTTTTCTAGGAAGGATTGGAATGGATCAGTCAAAATGTAAAAAAGAAGTAATAATGTTAATTTATTGAATATTTTTCATATTAATTTCTTATAGTTTGTTTCAAAGGTTTATGTAAGAATTAATAATTAGTGTAATATTTTATTATCATAATATTTTTTTAAACATATAAAATGTATATAAAAAAAATATATATTATGTATTTAAAATAAACATTTTTACTTATATCTATATCTGCTACATACTATACAATATGTTAATTAAAATATATAATAATCTATTACTACGTGTATCTTTAACTGAACATGTTACTAATGAAAAACGAATGTTTTACTATTAACAAGATTAAATAATTTTAAACTTCTCTGAAGTCAATAGACCTTGTAAAACATCAAAACAATATTAATTACTATAATTTGATTTATTTTAACATTTTACAAATATGTCGGTGTAGGTACCTATTATTATTATCCATGCAATGAATTTGTCATATTATATTATGTATTTCCAATGTATTTAATTAATTAATTTTTATTGCGTTTTATGTCAGCAAATTCATTTTCATAACATATTTCAAATTATAACGAAATAATTGACCAAAATGTCATGAATCGCTTTTTAACAATCAACAATTATTGTATAGCTCGTAACAAAATCGTTGGGCTCAAAAAACAATTTTGAATTAGTAGGTACCCAATACCTATAACGGTTATAAAATAATTTATTGATCTCGGGGTGTTGTATAAAATCATCAAAAACAACGTTGTTCAAATAATTTAAGTATATATTACAGAAAACGAATTACAATATTAGTTAAATATTTAATGAAGCTATAAATATTAATGTATCAATACACTTTATCGATAATATAATATTGAGTTTGCTTTTTTGCAGTTAGGACGGTGTATTATCAACTAACGGTACTTGGATCTAGTACGAAAGACATAATTATTTGTTTGGAACTTGATATAATATGTATATATTAAAAAATATATCATTTGAGTTCCATCTGCACTTCCATAAAAGGTATTATTAAGGTCCCCTATTAAAATATTTCGGGATGGTAAAATACCTCTATATAAAGTGGATTGCAGTTATTTTGTTCTGCAAGAGAAAAAAATTACCTAACAGTAAATTATATGCTAAAAATAATTTAGTTAATGTATACCTACATTGTATATATATATATATATATATAAATAAAAAAAAAATTATAAAACAAATTTAAGGTAGTATATCAATGGTGGCTTAAACTAGGTTTAAGTACCCGAGTACCTAGTGTACACCCCGTTTAGAGTTAAAATACATATTATATATAAAATGTTCAAAAACCGAAATTGATGAAACAGCCTTTGAGATTATTCATAATGTATATCCGCAATTATCGATATTTTTTTTTTTTGTTGTTTTTTTTTTATGTATATACTTTTAAAGTTCGTTGTGGAAATATTCAGTCGTAGCTTTCAAATCTTCTTCATGAAATTCTTGACAATTGGCCGAATATTTAGTCTAAACAACACGTAAACAATAATCGTGGTAATGAAAACGGAGTCAAGAAAAAATTTTAATTTCATTGATAAAAAAATCAACTTACCGAACAGTTGTGGTCTTCGGTTGCAGCGTTGTAAAGTTTCCAGAACGGCGTTCCCGTTTGGCCGGACAGGAACCAAGAAGCGATTAAACTGTTGAACAGAATATATTTTATAAGTGAGCAATTTCAAAATTATAAATTAATCAATATTAATTATTAACTTTCCCAAACATCGAATAGTAATATAATATTTATAATATTTATATTTTATAATACTTTTAAAAACATTTTAAAAATATCATCTATTTCAAATGCTGTCTGAGATTATTAACGTATAAACTAAAAAAAAACCGTAAATTATTATATTTAAATCAACAACATTCGTAATTCATTTTGAAATTTAATAAAAGAATATTATTCTATTACATTTGACGTGATGAATGTACATAAAACGAATTAAACATTAATTATTTTTTACGTAGGTATAATATTGTTATATATTTGCTTTACAAGCCAAATTATTATCAAATAATAAATAATACTTAATATTGCCCATCAATTATAAACACTAAAAATACGTAATGGCTAATGATAATATATATATAATATTATATTTAAATCCATGAAGATAATGTATGCAATTTATTGATATTATTTCTTGTGTGTTTTTAAACTAATACGCGTATAGAAAGTATTTTTAATATTATTTTAATGTTAATGACAAATATAACACCTTATAAATATTTTAATGGTTCTATTATAATATACTTATGTACCGTTATTGCATGCGTTAACTATGTTTAAAAAATGTATTATTTAGATTAATTAACGTACCTAGATAATTTTGTGACACCGGGTTTTAGTCCTGTTTTGCTATCTGGATATTGACCTTTACGATTGATGCTGCACACCAAGTAACGATCACATTCTGGTTTCTTGCCCACGAATCTATACACTCTCCACACTCTAAGTACCGGGTCAATTATTTCGTGATTCAACAGCTCCGATAGTTTTTCTTCAATTTCCTTAGAAGTTAAATGTTGCAAGCTCAATCCTTTGCTTTGGCCCAACCTAAACACTTCCTATACGAACAAACAACCATTCACATGATGTCTTATAACATATTAACATGACGTGTCTAAATTAATACGCCTATAATGTATTATACGTACTTGTATGTATGCTATCGCAGGTTTAATGTACGTAGCCGAATTTACTTTGAGTCCAAACTGTCGTTTAAACACTGCGTCGGCCAGGAAACTCAGAGATTCTGCTGGTCTTACTGGATCGAACTGGGCCGCTTTAGAGTAACCTTGAGACTTTAAGAACCCGTTCATGATGAATTGTGTCGTCGATAAATATCTGTAAAACATGTAATTGTATAGGTATAGACATTAAACGTAGGTACTTTAACAAGTATTTAAGTACATAATGCAATTTTAAAATAAATCTGTGTTTTGTTCGTATAACTGTATATATGTATATAATATATACATTTAACCTTATATCTGATTTTATATTGTCTAATATATTACATATAAGTAGGTAGGGTAGGCACTATAAAAATAATATCATCGTATGAATCTGGACTGACGCCAGTAATGCGTAGTATGTCTGGACTCTGGAGACATTATTATCGGCACACATAAAAATATTGGTACTTGGAGTGATACCAAGATGTTTATCTTATTTTACTTTAGCATAAATATTATGCACGCGTATTGTCTAATAAAAAATAAAATCGAGAAAAATACTATTAAACATAGTTATTAGCCAAGTACCCATCAGATAATACTTGTAAATAGCATTATTGTTGGTAAATATAGTCGGTCACCTAAAAATATATAATTTCCTTAATTTCAGTTGAAATTAAATTATTATTATTATTTTATTATTTTTATATGTAACGTATAATATGCTTTCGTCAAATGTTTTATAAAACCGAATAAAAAATTGATCCAGAAAAGGGCTACTCCACCAAAGGCGACGATAATTCTTTTCCCTTTAGAGTTATTGCACTTGTCGGCACTCTCGGTTAACTATTAATATGTTATCAGAAAATGTAATTATTTCGAAACAATTATAATAATAATAGGTATAGGTACATAAACCATGATTCACGTTGAAAAAAAATCATATGTTAGGACATTGACATAATACGAGTATAATGTGTAATACATGGGCGTATTTTACAATAAATTCTTCAGCATTATATTATTATTTTAAAACTGTGCATTATAACACGATACTATAAGTTCAATGAGACGAAGAGGTGCAGTTAGTATGTTTGTAAAAAAATATATAAATAAATAAATAACCAGTTAGTCGTTAAAGTTAGTGGACGTGTTATTCATATATACTTTTATAATATATTCTATATATAGGTATGAGAAAATTGATGTTATTAAATTGTTTGGTTACGACATGAAAATTACATTATTTTTGGTCGCCACAAGTGTTCAATGAACTGTAATATTGGATATTATACATTTTAAATTCACGCACGTAAACACTGAAGCCATACCTCGTACCTAGGTATTCATAATTAAAATGGTTCATAAAAAATAGAGTGTAACTTAAATGTCTGACCCAAACGTTCGAAAATTCAAAAATCGTACAGAGATTGAATCGGGACGAGTACCTACAGAACTTAAATATTTTGCTCCGTGACGTCATAGTATTGCGATGTTACGGTAAAATATGTACTGAGTGGGCGGACATATGTGACCTGTCGGTTAAGATTTTAATAATAATTATTATTTATTCACATGGATAAAATGGGCGGTATTCCGATATTCTAATACTAGTTTTTTTTTTCATATTTGTGATTAAATTTAAAAACGAAATCACCGCTACGGTTTATTAGATTGACAAGTAACAAGTTAAAATACTAAAAGCGTCAAGTACTTATTTTTGAAAATATCGAAGTATATAATAGTATAATACTCGTAAAAGCATTACCTACTACAGTTTTTAATTTTTTGGATACATTGTTTTTCTATTTTGTATTTTATATAATTAAACTAGTAAAAAATAAACATTGAACATATTATATTATTGTACTATGTATACGTTATTTTTAAAAACGTTTCCCGTTTGACCTTGACCCAAGAATACTGAGTGTTTTGCATGGGTTAAGATCAGAACAACTGTTTATTTTTTACGGATAACTGTACATTTTCTATACCATTAAGCGCGGTCAGCACACGTACCTATAATTACCACATATTTGAAATAATGTATTAGTAATAATAAGTAAAGCACATCTAATAAAAATATTTTTAATGTTATATAGTTTATTTTAGGAAAAGCGAATAGTTTCACGAGGCGAGTAAATTATTTATTTTTTTTTGATTTTTATGTAAAATCGATATTTACAGATATTTATGCATATTTAAAATAAATAATTCCGTTGTCATAAATAAATTTTACACTATACTAATATATACAATATATTATATTTTACTGACATAAAACGTTTATTATTATTATTATTTTTTTTTTTGTATTAAAAATATGTACCGCTGTAGCTGTAGTCATATATTATCATAGAGGTAATAGTGGGCAACGAACTCTACGAGCAAAACCAGTTCCGTTCGTTTAAAACAAGGCGTGCTCGTCGAGTTACTATGATATTGTTATATATCCACGATACGATTTATATTAAATATTATACCTATATTTAAACGCTTGTGCATAATGTATATAAGTGTATAAGCGTGAACCGGGTATACGGTAATTACCTGGACTGTGTGTTCGGATCAGAGACGTGTTTAATCCATTCGGCGACGAAACTGGTCAGACTCCTGACCCAACGCCGCCTGAACGTGGCGTTTTCCATGGACTCGAATATCTTGTCCACCTGGAAGTGACCGTCCCTGTCGATGAATAGCTTCAAAATGCTGCCCAGGCCGCTGTTCTTCCACAAAGTTGTTCCTAGTTCGCTGTTTTTAAAATGTTCCCAGTATACGTATGCACTACTTAGGAACGGCGGCAGGAAGGATGAGGCTCTGGCGTGTCGCTCGTGTTCTTCGAAATCCTCCACTTCCGGATCGTCAGAATGCTTGTGTCCGCCACTGAACGCATTCACCAACACCGGAAGTACGTTCATGAAACCCTCTATCGACGAACCCTGGGAGCCACCTGTGCCCGCCGTCGACGACATGAATCCTATAACATAACCATCGAATAAAGTTTATTTCGTTTCAAATGTATATATTATGGAATGATACAATATTATTATAAATTATTATACATCAATATCCAATTTAAAAGAGGATGCGTACGTGGAACCGCCAAAACATTACCATTGTATTATATAACTATATGCCCATGTAACAAAAGTCTGCTTGAGTAAAAATTATCCGATTTGAATTTTGTGTTTTACACAATTTCATCAGTACAAAATATGTTGGTGATAAAATTTGACAGATTTTGATACCGATGTACCGATTATAGAAATCATGATTTGATGTGATTTTGTTTGATTTGCAATCATTGGCTTGAGTTCGAAATCATTTAGTATGATTTGCAATCAATAGAGATAAATCCAATAAATATATTACATATTTTTTATAAGACTTTCAAAACGATCGCTTATCGTAATAATATAATTATAAGCCTGAGATCATTACATAGAATCTGATATGATATTCATATTATTTTGAGTATAAAACCGTATTGACGAGTTTTTATTTTATTATGTAATAAGACGACGATTGTCGAAGTTTGTAAAAACAAGACGAGAAAAACGGCTGTGCATAGTTCCAAACAGGTTATTATATTACATCAATACGGTTAATTTACCGTTGAACCGTCCAACTAATGCGGAATTTTTTGCACGTGTAGGTTGTACCTACTGTTTGCCGACTACGATGGAATATAAATGCATGGCCTCAACAATCGTTGACTAAACGATAAAAACTGCATTTGTAATACAAAAATAATGGTATTATCCGTAAACCTAAATAAATCAAAATCAAGTTTAATAAAGGATAATATTAGGTGCTTAGATATATTATTGAATCGATTGTGATCTTTTTTAGAAACGTAAAAAATTTTAGTGAAAATAAAACATCACGGTGATTTTGTGAACAATATTGGCTGAGTATATTATAATCATCAATTGTGAAATACTTACTGTATGAATAAACAAAAATATTATATCGATTATAATGAAATTGATTAAGTCTACCTACGATTACGATTTTCAGTGTTGTCACGATGGTATTTATTATACATTATCACCTAAATATATTAGTACATCACCGACTTACGTTTAACTTCATGGTTAACTTGAATAGAATTTATATAATAAGTGTGGAAGTGAGTTTATTTTCATTTTTTGATATAATATTCATTAATATTATGTAGATCATTTAATTTCATTTTTTTCAGATGAAAAATCAACGGTAAACTATATAAAAAACAATAATTTGTTAGCACATTATATTATTAGCCCTTAGTATTAAGAGTTGTATGAAACAAATGAATTCCTCTAGCCTCCTTATTTTTTTGGTAAAGTAATATTAACACAAATCATTTGTTTACAAAATTCAAGTATACGATTTTGGGTTAATTTAAAACTAATTTAAGTGTTCAATGTTAATGTATATAATATTATATAATACTGTAATTATACCAATGTGCATCACAAAAAAAAAAAAAAAAAAAAAAATGCAGAACAGTCGGTTAAACTGAATAAACATTAAAACATTAAGTAACTATACAAATATTTTATTTTATTAATAAATCAAGGATCATTACAAGACCAAACTTAATAAGATTATAACTATTATAATCATTAAGTTATAAGTCATAACTTATGACTATAATATACTAAACAGTATAATAAGTATCATGTACCTATAACCTACCATTTAAAACAAAGTCTCAATGATTTATACTAATTGTGTGCGTTTGGAATTTTTTAAAGATATTGTGGCTTAAGAAACGTGTGTTTGCATTTAGTACTAGTGTTTTAGTTTTTCGGATAGGTGATTTAAAAAAGTTGATTCACATACTAATTAATTACTTATATAGAATAGGTATGGACAATAGTACAATAGTACAATATTTATTTCTTTAAACGATTGGTTAACACAGTTATAGAATGTATACCTATACCAAGTGCTTATAATTATCGTTTAAAATATACTCGAGTAACTTAGATGAAAGAAATCTAAATTCGGTGTTAAAATAATAATGTAAACCACGGTTCACGGTTCATTGACACCTGCAGACTAAAAAAAAATATACGGAACACGAGACGATTAACTTTGAAATAGATACTTTTTGGTGCACTAAATACAAATTGTATTTACTGTTATAATGCATAATGCTCAAGAGCAGCCAGAGCGTATTATCGTCATACTATTAGTGTACACGCCGACACAGTCATAAGTAAAAAGAATAACAGAATCCCAAGATTTTGTTAAAAAGATTTCAAATATTTCACGTACAAATCATTTATCGATTTTCACGATACATTTCAGTTGCACAGGTGAAATCAAACTATTTAATGACTCACTACACAGTAGTAATCGCTGTGATTATGACTCATCATTACACTACCAATATACAATTTAAACCGATTTATTGGACAACTCAAACACATCGTAATGTTATTTTTCACTGTATTATAACTACCATGTCAATGGTTTCAGTAAATATTATATAGGTAACCTAACACATTTACGAGCTGGGCAATTCATAAATGCCTGGGGTATCGTGATTGTTCTCCTTAATACGTTGCAGACTTATTGTTATAATGTCGTACAGTACCGCTGTGACATCATTTTACTATTTTTGTATATTTATATACATACCACTTAACATTTATTTTGGCACATGATTGGGTGCATTAATATATATTATTTATAAATTTCTATAATTAGATATTTTAAACTCTTTCAAGTGCATTTTTCATAAAAAGTGTTGATTTTTATAAATCCGATAGAAGTACTATTTTACAAGTTAAGGTGGGTCAAACGTCTGCCCTACCCGAATGACGCCTATTCGTGTAATGGTGTCGTAGCATTGTGAACGTTTTGTTTAATTAACTGTTGTGATATTTTGTATTCGTATATCTTTTATTACGAATCGCTTAAAGTTAACATTATTTGCACGAGTAAAAAATAATAGCTATATCTACTATTACAGATGACATACATCAGTGGGTACGTATTTTAGGCGGGTCATGTCCCTTATCAGGAACATTATTTAATATGAAAAAATCATATTATATAATATAATGCAAAAAAAAAAAATTGAAGAGATTGCTTTGTGTTAGTCAGGCTTTAAATAGATTGCTGTTTAGAATCATAGGTTCAAGTCAAAACAGTCGTGCGCGATTTTATACGTGTAATAAGTGCAACGGAAAATTCTGTGATTGCGGTACTGCACATATCATATAAAAATATACATAAAAATAATACTTAAACCACGTAGTCGGACTTACCAGAAGCCAAGTCGATCATGGAGCTCCAGTCCACGCCAGCCCCGTCGTCGTTTCCGGACGACGATTTGTCTGCTGCCGAACCGCCCGCACCGGCGAACATTCCGACGAGTTGGCCGATCATCTGCGGATCGACGGAACCCTTAGCGGCTGCCAGACCGGAAACGATCGATCCTAGTCCGGACTTGGCGCCTTCCGTTTGCATGAACGACTGGAGCACGGAGCCCAAGCCGCCGGCGGCTCCGGCGCCCTGTCCGCTGGCCAGCGAGTCTTGCAGCAGCGACTTGGCCGCTTCCAGGAACGGGTTCTCTTCGCCGTCATCTACACTGTTGCTGTCCACCGAGGATGTGACCGCGGGTCCGGCCAAAAGTAGGGCCAGCAACAGCGCGACGTTGAACAGTAACCGGATCATGATGGTGGTGACCGACGGTTAATGGATATCGGACGTGACAATGTTTTCAAGAATATTATGTAATACACTGCTCAGGTGGCAGTAAACGTGACGGAATTTTGTGTACGTATCCGGTGGTGATAATATTAATACGAAGAACCGTTTTCACATAGTCGGCACGGCAGAGATCTATGGCGAGCTACGCGACGTGGCGAAGTAGACGTCGATCGAAGAACTGTGACGATCGTGATGTGACCGAACGGCGGATGGCCGAGTCCACCGTTGCCGGAACCAAATACTCAGCTGCCCCTCTGGTTACCGTGGTACCGGTGACCGGGCTGCGAAAAAAAGAGAGGGGACGGTCGCAGACGTAGCGGTAAACCAGACCACGCGCGGTTACGGCGGCGGAACGCGTACAAACCTGTTATGGTAGGGCCATTGACATATTATTATTATTATTATTATTATACCGTCGGACTGTGGCAGCGGGAAGGTTAGTTATATTATTATTTTATTATGTTTGGCTCGTCGTCTTCGTTGAAATGTGACGATCGCGTAGGTAAATTATTACTATTATATATTTCGTTCGAAATACCTTTTCGTCGGAATTCGGTCAATTATTACTACTATATCGTTACGATCGATTTATTACATAAAATTACACGTCCTAAGTACAATATCTATTCGCACAACACATTCCACTACATTATATCATTATAATATAAGCACTAAGCACATAATAATATGACGAATGCAAATAATGAAGGCTCTAAGAGTTCCAGAAATTCTATGATAGTATGCGTATTATTGAAATCGAACTACCACTCTTATTGTCATGAATAATTCATTTCCATAAATTATTTTTTGTCCGCAAATATTTATAATAATAATAATCGTTATTTACATGGCTAAATACTTAGGTATGACAGCAATAATACTAAAATCCGTTCTATAAGCGCATTCATGGAATAATAAACAAATCTTAATTTATTATAATATATATATATGATTATTATATGATACTATGACGTCAGCCGGCAAGGATTTTAATCGGCCAAATCTTGAAACTAGTTACAACTGTGATAAAAGTTCCTGCCAGCTGACGTCATGACATGCGTATCACAGAGTTGCTGTCATACCTAAATATTTAGCCATGGCTATTTATACGCCGCAGGATAATTCTTTAACGCGAGTCTCGAACACTAACTATTTAGAAAAATAGAAGTCCTGATCTATCATCCTTATAATAATATAATGTTGGTCGATCAGTGCATTTATCCATACATATTTTCAATTCTAGTCCAAAGTTGATTACTTTTCTGGAAATTTTGATGTATACAACACAATAATAATATTATGTCGTACCATCGAACATTAAGTCATGCAATTTCTGATGATAAAACCGCTAAAAGTTTATCTTGAAATTTGATAATTCACTTGCACATTCGAATTTTTATATGATAATCAAATTGTTAGACTGGATGGTAAATACGTTTTGTGCACTAAAAATTAAAAGTAATTAATTAAAATAAATCTTTAAGCTCGAAAATATTATTCATAAATCGCGTTTACATTGGACGATGTGATGATTACGTGTATGGATGATGTCAAGGTCGTTCATTGCCATCACCGAGTAACCTTCTCGTCTGTATACTTATAAAATTACATTTCCATCTCACGTAGTATATACGCAGGGCATGTACCTCTGACGGTTGAAAAATACCCTGTACAAACGACGAAATAATGGAAAACTATTTAACTGACTAATATTAATTATTATGAATCACAATACTTTGAAAATAAAAACTTTTGATCAAGAAAAAGTTAGGTAAAAGTAAAAAAATTAAGAATTTGTTTATTAATATATAGGTACAATAGTTACATATGTAAATACATAGAGTTGATTGTAAGACAGTCAAAACAGTATACTAAAGATATATAAGTAGTTAAAAATTGCAAAGGCCCGATTACTATCAGAGAAGAGTCAATTTCAAAAGGTTATTGAAATCATATACATTTCCCCGATATTGATATGATTAAAACTAGACAAATCGTAGAAAAAATGAAATAAAATATATTCGTCTGATGATAATCCTTAACATATTATTGCTAGTTCTCAAATTGTGTCAGGTGTAGCTGAAAATATTCCTGCTATAGTGCTATACCTCTTTTAAAACGTTTTTTACGAAGAGTACCTACGTTAGAAAAATAGAATGTCTCTCAAAATCCTTTTTCTTCAATGGACTTCAACATTTTTGAGATATACGCAAAAACTAAAAATGGATCTCCATTTTTAGCATCTGACAGTGGTCAAGTTGAAAATCGTAAATTATAATATATTCTACTGAAAAAAACATGAAACTGATGAAAAAATCTAAATATTTTAAAAGTTCCTCAGTTTCATTTTTTTCAAATTTATGTGATACATGTGTCAATAAATAACGGTATAATAATTCCAACTGTATATTCATTACTACCGAATAAAACACAAGATATTTATGCATAAAAAATATATACCACATTCAAATTTCCCTTTTACGTTAAAATGTGAACTTATATTTCTAAGTCGAATGTAAGTAGTTATAGCATTTAAAGATATATTGAATTTGCAATTTTATATTGATAATTATGACGGATTAAAACCATTAGTTGACTACTAGAGGATTAGATGATTTGTTGGCCGTAAACAAATGAACTATATGACATAAACATTTCATTTTGAACTTTGAAATTATTATGATTTGGCAAAAAGTGGATTGTCGAGAACAAATTACAACATTGAAAGATGCTACAGAAAGTTCATTACATTAATTATGTATGACAATTTAATTATTAATTTTTATTTTTACATTGTAGGTTTACACCATCCAGTGTTCTAGAAATTTATAAGCAGTTGAAAGAATAAACAAAATATTTAAGAGCTAGTAAATGAACAATTACTAACAGGACATTATAATAATAAGAAAAAATATATAAAGACTCAGAAAAAAAAATAAGGAGGTAATATGGTAAATTTATTTAACACAAATAACACAATGAACTTTTTAAAAGATATAATCGTATATAATTTTAATTAAAATAGAATTTATAAATGATATTTTTGTAATTAATGTTAATTACATTTGCTCATATTATTTTCGTTGCTTTGGTTTCGCTATTATGACCATTATGGCAATAGTTACGCGATTTTACCGGATCCATTTTGAAATAACCGGCCGCTACAGCTTTATACAAAAATTGGATTATTTTACATAAATAAAAAGTGCTGTAATAACACGAATTTTCATAAACTTGAATAATTCTTTGGTAATTATTTATAAATATTTTAACGTTAGTTATTTTTTAACCAGTATATTGTATAAACAAATAATTTTGATTTACCAAAACTTGAGTCTAGATGAGCCTTTATTGCAATCGATTTAAATACGCTTCTGATCAAATCAATGGAAATCGTAGGTATAACTTATTTTGAATATTAAAATAAAAAAAATAATAATAAATTATTTAACTCGGAATCAAAAATGTATATCTAAAATGTTTTTTTTATTTATATTTTAATTTGTATGCATTTATTAATACTAAAATCAATATAGCTAAAGATTACTATTATAACTAACAAATATATGCAAGAATATTATGAAACAAATTTAACTATAAATATAGTAACCTTCAATCTATTAAAAAGTTACATTATATACGATACCGTGCTTCCAGGTCAATGAACGATTAAAATACCAAATAGAGAATTGTAATGATGAATAATGTGATAAACCGGTTAGGTAATTACTTTCTTAAGTAGGAAATCCAGAGTTTGAAAATTTTTTATTTTCATAGAAGTAACTATATACAGGACGATTTACTAAGCATGCTCACTTAAATTGATTCCATTATTAATTTTTAAGTACACTTACTTAAAAACCATATTATATTCAAGTAAGCATTTAGATTTTGTAAACCATTTGAGAAATATTCTATTGTAATACCATTTTTTTTTTCAAGTGAGAAGTATCTTTTCTATAAAAATTGTTAAGCTAATATATATTTTTTTAAATATTTATGTATTGAAACAAAAATATTTAAATGAGTTTTTTTTTTTTTAGTTATTTAACTTTGTCCATAGATACTAAGAACGGTAATAATAATAATTTTTGGAAGATTTGGAGAGCTTATGATTAATATTTTAAAATATAATTTTGTAGTAATTAATATTTATCTATTAATAATTTATACATTTTTAAAGTGTGTCTAAGTTTATAAGTATCACGATAGTTTTTTATAATGTCTATTTCATATATTTTTTTTAAAACCATTTTTTAAGAAATATTATTTTAGTTCATATAATTTGATAATTTAGAAATTTCTTGTTCGAATTTTGATTTAAATATAATTTCAATAAATAAAATCATTATCATAGAAACAATGGCAATGAACATGTTAAGTAAATTACTTTGTTTATCTGGTATCTATATTTATACAGATACAATCTAGAGACATATATTTTACTATTTATTATACTCCATTATTTTTTTAGTGACTGTTTTACGAAAAACTTGGTCGTGTTATTTATTTTGACATCGACCTCATTTCAGTTGACAAATTAATGGAAACACCGACGAAACACGGTGCTCATGTAATGGTGTGGAAAATTGTTAAGCGTTTACTATGATGAACCATGACTGTTTCAAAAAATTTAAATCGGTCTCGAGATCGATTATTGTTTAACTATATATAATATATATAATAGCGGTTCTATTGTATACTGGTCAAGAATATAATTATTTGCCTTTGACGGTGATATAAATATTATAAGTATACCTACGTTTTAATTTTTTGAATAAAAATACCGATAGTTATTCTTTTAAAATATTTGAAAATTATACCTTCTTTGATATTTTTAAATTGCTATCAGAACAATAGTATTACATGTTTGCCTAATTTTTAACAAAAAAAAAAAATTTTTGAAATCTTAAAAGTGATATGAAATGATTTTTACCCGTATTGCTTTAAACAGTTTTAAGTGATTTATAATCTATTTCATTATTTTTGATTTATTGTATAATATAATATAATTCAACAAATTAAAATTAAATCTATTGTGGTTAAAATAAAAGATAAAAAACACGAAATAATTAAATATTTACCTGCAGGTTTCACTCATATTTTTAATTTGAAAATATCTGAATATTTTGTCTAAATATGAATATTTCTACATTGACACACATCGACTTCATTTAACTGTTTATTTCTTTAACCAACTACCTACAACTAAATATTATATACACAATGCTTTTTTTATATTACAGTCTGATAG